TTAATAGATATTATAATCATCTTTTTAAAACAATGGTAAAAAATAAACAAATACATTAAATAACGTCTTAAAAATGAAAAGTGAACAACCAAATTTAAATGCACTAAATAGGAAATTAGATCTACTAAATTTGAATGAAAAAAGTAATTAATGGAAAAAAATAAGAAACATATTAATTTTTTTTATTAATTAGGTGGTTTAATTAAAATTAAAAAGTGATTTATAAGAAATATTGAAGTAAAATTTATTATTAATTAAAACAAAAAAATTTCATTTTAGTAAAAAATGTCACCTAATCATATAAATATTATATAATATTAATTAATTGATTTACTAAAATAATTAATTAATTAGAAATATGTTATCCCTTAAAACACATGAAGTGAAGATGGTCACTACTAAAATTCCAACCTTCAGCAACATGCTCCCATGTTGCTGAAAGTGCTTGCATTGTTGCTGAAAATGCTTGCAATGTAGGTAAAAGCCTTTTAGCAACATAGCTTTCGTTGCTGAAAGTTTTGTTGGAAAAGCCTTGGTGGCTGATACATTAGCAACAAAGGGTATGTTGCTGATGTATCAGCAACATACCCTTGTTGCTAAAAGAACACTTTCAGCAATGTGATTTATGTTGGTAATATTCTTGTCGGATTTCGGTGACCGATGGTGGAGTTTATTCAACCATTTTCAGCAACAAAAGCCACGTTGCTGAAACTATATTTTTAGTAACGTGGCTCATGTTGCTGAAAGTTTAGGAAAAATGGTGGTTTTTAGAAGGTGGTTTTCCTTTCCTACTTTCAACAACGTGACTCTTGTTGCTGAAAGTTCAGGAATAGTACATTTCCTAGTTTTCAGCAACGTATGTCTTGTTGCTGATATTTATTTGCATACTTCCCTGATATTAATTAATTACTTAATAAATTTTAGTTTAATTAATGTAAATTAAATAACATCAATTAATTAATGTCTTATTATGTATTTTACCAAACTTGAATTTTATTTTATTAATTTATTTTATTAAGAATTACATACAAAACAAATAAAATAACAAAATTATTAATTATTAAAGATAATTACTTATAAATATATTAACTTCCAAATACATTAATATCTACTTAATAATTAATGTAATATTTACAAAAATATGATTTAAATATACTTAAAGAAATCTGATGGAATTTTCTCAATTATTAATATATATACATATGGATGACATGTGCTGATTAATAGAGGATAAAAAAAAAAAAAGAAGCTGAGAGGTGCAGCAAAGAATGTTGCAGCAGGCCGGGGGATTTGCAATAGGCCGGAGGATGTTGCAGTAGGTCGGGGGATTTGCAGCAGGCCGAAGCAATTGCAGCAAGCCAAGGGAATTGCAGCAGGCCGGAGGAATTGCAGCAGGCCACGTGAGGAGAAGGAAGGCATGCGGGAGGAGAAATATTGCAGAATTTATAGAGAAGGGGTTGAGGTATATAAATAACTTTCAGCAACATAACCTTTGTTGCTGAAAGTTTACTCTCTATTAGCAACCTATACCATGTTGCTAAAACTCATCTGAATTTGAATTCTTTTACTCATCACCGACATGCATTATGTTGCTAAAATTTAAAATAAAAAAAACTCCCGCCACACTATCAAATGATTAAATTTTAAATGATTAAAATTTTTAGCAACATAACTCTTGTTGCTGAAAGTTACTTTCAGCAACAAGAGACATGTTGCTGAAAATGGAGTCCTTATTTGGGGAGAAAAGTGCGATAGAGGGCTACCGGAAAATATCAGCAACATGGGGTATGTTGCTGATATTTATTTTCGCAACATACCCCTTATTACTGAAAGTGGAGCAACTTTTGGAGGGGAGAAGTGTACTGCATAGCTTTCAGCAACTAAAACCTTGTCGGTGATATAATTTTTCGGCAAGAAAGGATTCCATGTTACTGATATTTGTTGTTAAAAGTCAAAATTTTAGTAGTGGGTGTCACGGAGTCAGTTAGTGGAGGACTTGATTTACACAAAACATGGAGTTGAAGGACTTTTTTATGCCCTTTTTAATTCAGGGGTTTGTCATTTACTGTCGAAAAAGTTGAGAGGCTTCTTTTTGCCGTTTGGTTTTTTACACAAAGGGCAGATTTCGCAACTTGTTACTTGCAAGTTGCACGTGTAAGGGTACGTGACGGATTCTGTTGTTTATTTTAATTTCTCAAATTAATTTCATCAGTTCAATTCTGAAATTGGTTTAAAGAAGTGATTCTCTTATCAGAAACTTTAATATCATAGTTTGTAGATAGATTAGTGAGTCATATATCCTCAAATCCTTTGGGTGATGCTTTCAGATCTCTCTACTAACTTAATAAATAAATAAAAGAAAACATTGGGCATCCATTCAGGCTTTGTGCTTGATTATACAAGAAGGGTTTCTAGAGAGAAGTAGTTGAACTCAATTTATGTCCCTTCTCCAGTTCTCCCCCTCTCCAATAGTTACACAAGTTCAAAACAAAAATTTGGGGCCATTGAAAATGTCATTGTTATTGGTCCAATCAAATTCAGTTTAACTTCTAAATGGATCCTACCGGCCATATCTCACTCAGAATAAGCCCACTAAAAACAATTGGTTATTAGGATCCAATCCAAAAGAAGATGAATTATGAATGCCTTCTAACATTTTTTTTTTCTTTCTGACGAAGAAAAGATTCTACAAGAGGGAGGATCTCTTTCTTTATTTATTACATTTTTTCTCAGTGGTCTCATGTTGGGCCCAACAGTTATGAAGAATAGCAATTCGAGAAGATACTGTGCCCTAAAAGCACTAGGCTTTGCCGCTTTTTGGAAAGTTAAACAGAAAAAGTAAACTTAATTAGCTGGGACAAGGCAACAATTACAGGAAGGTTAAGAATTGGAAGCTAAGATTTTGACAATAGGCAACCCAAAAAAGTTGAAGGGCTATTTGTATATTGCACAATCACTTATCACATAAGTTTACAAAAAAAAAAAAAAACAAAGAGGAAAGTACTGATCCATTGACTTGATTGCAATCACAAAATACAAGCACCAAAAAACAGAACTTACAAAAAGTATGCAAACCAAAAAAAAAGGGAAGGGAAATACTAAAAAGCACTAAAAGACCCAAAAAGTACACAAATCAAAAGCAAAGCATGCACGCAAACTTCATCACCACTTCACCATATAAATGCATTCGCAAGAGAAGCAAACTCCTGTTCTTTCTCCTTCTCTGCTTCCCAAATACCCTTCTCGGCTCACTCACCGCCGTGACCTCCGGAACTGGAGCACATTTCTGCCGGGGGTGGCGGTGGAGGAACCTCCTCAGTTTTCTTGTGTCCAGGAAGCTTTTCCTTGATCTTCTCGACAATAACTGCGGTGTGCTCACCATGATTCCCCTCTTCTTTCTGTACTCCCTTTATCTTCTGCTTGATCTTCCCTTTCAGTCCCTTCTTTGTCTTTTTCTCTTTCTTTGTTGATCGGCGCTTCTTTTTCTTCTCTTCTCCTTCGCCTTCTTCCTCATCGCTAGACTGTCAAATGTAATTTTAAACATTAACAAAACCTGAAAAACTCAATAAAACAAAGGATGCTTAAATTTTTAAGGTTGCCACGAAATTAACTTACAGAGCTGGAGCTGCTGTTAGAGCGACGAAGTTTCTCTATGAAACTGTGCTTCTTTTCACCTTCCTCCTCTGGTTCTGTCTCTTCAATCTTTACCTTCTCGTCAAACTCACAGACGACCACCTCCTCCTGCTTCTTCTCTTCCTTCTTCCCCAAGAAATCAAACAACCCCCGATCCTTGGTCTCAACTTCGCCCTCACCAACGCACTCATGACTTTTGCTGTGGCACTCTTCAGCCATACCTATCGAACAAAGAATCAAGGTGTAAGTGAAAGGCTTTAAATATGATTGCTGTGAAGGGTAGAATAAAGTTCAGAGATGATGATGGCTTTGTGTGTTAGAGTAAGAGGCAGAGAAGGGTTTATAATTTTACAAAGCAGATCCGACCGCCTAAAAGACAATGCGTAAATGACGAGGAGAATCTATGCGTAAGTGAGGAGGAAAATATCAAAAATATATATATATACAGCCGTAACCAACCCGTGCGTTGAGGAGGAAAAATGGTTATTCCAAATAAATTAATGATGGATACTGCGTCTTTATTCAACACCTGTCACTGAACCCAATCGCTAGAAAGACTGTTTGGATGTTACAATTGGATACAGTTGTGTCCATTAAAAATTAAAACTGTAAAATATTATTTTCAAAAATATTAATTTTATTTAAGTTGA